TAGAGTATTTGGTTAATTAGAGGAAATTTGGGAGATCTGGCGTTGTTTGGATATTTCGATGCTTGAGAATGTCGTATGTGTAAATTAACGAGATTGGAGTGTTTCCGGTCAGCTCAGCTGTCTCTGTCAATTTAAAGAAATTTCTAATGTTCTGCGAGTAGGATTTATCTTTATACTTATCTGCAGATATCTAGAAACTTTCGAGAAGCGATTAGAGAAGAATAAAGGTTAAAGAAAATCGTCGTGCAGAAAAATTTCGCTCACAAGTGCTATCCTCCAGAGACTAATCGTTTAATTTAGGAAATACAAGGTTTCTCTAATATTTTTATCGCAAGAAAGCTAAACAACTTAACAAACCTTTGTATATTGATTCAAAATCCACTGATACCTACATAAATCCCAGACGATGACTTTTACAAGAAACCTGTGTAAAACTGTTCTGTCAAACCACAGCTAAGATTTATCATAAAAAGGGAACAAAACTCACCTATTTGAACAACATTTCTAATTCACCTCAACCCTGCGCGAATTTCACTAATTGAAAAATCCTCAAACAAGTCTATCTTCGTCGTAGAACAGAACAAAAATCTGTCTGTATCAACAAAATGTCCAATCCACAAAATTTATCACATAAAATACACAAGACATACTAAATCAAAATTTACAAACTAATTTCTCCAATCCTTCGAAATATGCAACAGATATATCCAAGAAAAAAATTCTCTCGTCTCGATAGAGTCCATAAAATCATCTACATGTACCTAAGATTATTCCAGATCTTCTTCAGGGTTGTGTATATTAACGAGTACTGGATGTAGAAGGAAGAAGAGGTATCGCAGAGGGCTGAGAGGAATATATAGGTGGAGTAAGGGTGTTCGTGGCTGTTTCTAATGGGCAAGGATTTCCTTACACACAAAAGCCAGTGAAGAGAGTGACTGATCGTCGCGAGCACCGCGAATAAATTACGTGGCAGCCTATGCGGCTGCATAAATTAATTTCAGCCGGTCTGCCCATAAATATTCCCCCCTTCGAAATCGTTCTCTCCCACCTCGAAAGCGGTGCGCCGCTCGTCTAAGCAGCGCCGTGCCAGGAGACGACGTTACCCCCTTTGTATCTCGTAATTTACGCCGATGTCCAGGTAAACGCCGATCTAAGAACGTTCGCCGACCCCCTCAACCGGATAACGTCCATGGAATATCGATGGGCACTGATCGACGCGCATTGCCACTTACGGCGATCTTAATATGATTTATTTATTAAGATTCTAAACCTGCATGGTTTTGTCGTTAAGTTCTGCCTTATGCGATTTTTATCACGTTTTACGACGCTGGCGTGTCGATGAATCGATTACGCGTACAGATCCTGTTGCTTTTACGAGAAGGTTGAAGCTGGAGAAACGCATAAAACGCACATGATACGCAAAAGCATTGAAAATGGGATAGTTTGTCTTAATGTTTAATAGCTGAAGTAATTCTCTGTCTTCTTAGTTATGTCGATGAAAATGTGAAAATCTGCGATCCAGTTATGACACTTATTTGCTTGCAGCTTTTAAGCAAGAAGAGAATTCTTTCTTTTGTGAATTCTTTCAGCCTTTTTCCTCCTTCCACTTTCGAGATCTTCTTTTTGGTAAATTCATGCCTGAGAAATCTTCTTTTAATACACCTTGAAGAAAAGAGAAGAAACGATATATATTAATATCAGACATTTTTCCAACAGCCTGGAAAATCTCCCGCAATCTAAACTCCATCGAAATGGAACAAGGATGTTTTCTAAAAATCTTCATTCACTGTTACGAACTGTCCGCGTATACTACGTATCCTACTCACCTATTTCATATCTCTGTATCTTCGAACTTGCATCGTTAAATCAAAGAACATATCCGGAATTATCGTGAGATATGTAATAGCACCAATCGATCCGATCGAATATCAGGGGCAATCCTCATCGATGGACGCGTATACTGGATGTAATTTTGATGAGAAACACCATAGAGAAGAGAGCATCGTTAATTTTGGCGTAACGATTCGCAGGGTAGCGGAACGTTCGAGCTATTGTTAGCGGACAGATGCGGCGTATGGGGGCCGGTGGTACATTGCGATTCACCTTGGTCGTTCATGCTTGAATGCGCCGTCATTATCGACGCGTAATGATTGTATTGTAACGCCGTCAAACTTATTATCCGCTTTATACCGACAACGTTCGCCATTTACACGCCTGTAAAAAGATTCTTCTCTCTTCTCTCGACCCCTCTTTCAAATTTTCCAAATTTCTTCACGATTTTCTGCAGAAAAATATAATAGCTACGTGCTCCGTATGTTTAACGCATCTACTTTTGTATTTCGTATGTCGTATTTCAGGTGCTGCGTGAAAGTTTCAACGCGTTCTACTGCAGAAGAAAAAGAGAAGAAAGTGGCGGAAAATTGGTCGGTGTAATTGCAACAGCTGCGCAAATGTGTACGCGTATACGTTTCAAGCGAATTATGTGGGTTGTACGAGTGGAAAAGCGATACGAGTATTTCTTCGACTAAAAAAAGTAAATCGGAAAGAAGAAGGAAATTATATACGCGTGTAATATAATTGGAAGTTAAATTTGACAGATTTTCTGCTTTCACAGTTGAAATTTTTATGAGAAGACCTCGGATGGGTTGGAAAGTAGCTCTTGAAAAGTTCGCATACTCGGAACAAGTGTATTTGGTCGGTGAAAAGCAGAACTCGGATCCCCGTGTCGTTTCCCTTTCTCTGTTGACGCGTCGAGCTAACAAGTAGCCATTGTGAACCGCCGTGTCAAGATGCTACTTGACGATGTACTCCTGAACGGACCCTCTTCACAGACAGTTTTGCCCTTTTATGCAGCTCACTACCTCTACAAACTACCGATACCTTCTGCCTTCCCAGACTGTTATTTCGTTTCATTCTCAGTCAATTGCAACAATCTGTGTATGCAATTTATAACTACAACTTAAAAACGTACTAATGTTATTATGACCACTAAAATTAATATCACTCACCATGGAGAGTTGTTAAATATCTTACCAATTCTCAATATTGATACCATTATACCATTATAAATTGATTACCTGTCACATGTACATATTATTGTATATTACACATGCTACTATAAACCACTAGTCTGTAATAGTATCAAACGCTTTTCACTCTACTTTCTACATCAATTCCCAATGGCCAAAGCTCAACTCCCTGAACAATCATCACACCCTAACTTGCAATTATCAAATTATCCTCTGTAACCCTGCACGCGTCACCAACTATCTGTTTATCCATTTCAAGACCTTCTGCCGAGTATCCAGCGATAGATTCAGTGTATAGGGCAGGATCCAGGTACTTGGATACACACCTACATACATACTGCACACAGAGAGACAAGAAGAGGCACGGTGGTATATAGCTCTGTGGGGTCTAAGCTTAACTTTACGATCTCTTGAAAATCCCTTCGGGGCTTATGGGGTCCCACTACGAGGCTAATAGAACCGAAATTATAACAGGCCGATGAGCATGCGTCGACTGCTCTTATTCCGCCCCGCTGACGGATCGAAGAAAAGACCAGTCGTGGAAGAGAAGGGGCGAAATCGGGGAGAGAATGCTCGAGAGCGTGCCCGACACAGTCCCAGGGAGCCGATTAAAGGATCTTTCGATGCTTTTTTAGAACCTCTTAAAACCGTTTCAAAGAATTCCAAAAGCTAAACACCATCTAGGAAGAAACTGTTAAAAGACGAGAAAGGAAGAAACGTATTGTGCATGATAGACGTGAGTACATATCTGAAGCAGTGATAATTAGAAAACATGATAGTTGAAGATCTACATGGTACAATTATAAGATTACGGTATGGGAGACAAGTAATATAAGAATGATGAAGTAATATAAGAAAACAGTGAGAATAAGGAGTAAACACTGAATAATAATACAAGTATGATTAAATATCATGATATTATGGTATATGGTATATTAGTATTGTAGTTAGGTCCACGCATGTGTATGTTATATCATTATTACATAGATTATGTTTAATGTATGTTATACGATTGGAATAACTATCCCTGAGATAAGACAAGGTATACTAAGTGAACCAATACGTTGTGTCAAAGAACAATGATGTACAATAAAGTAAAGTAATATTATTGTTATTATTATATGTGAAGCAGTGAAGGAAAGTTTACTGTGAAAATTTGTCAATTATTAAAGTACAAAAAGTAACATAGTAAAAAGAAGAAACGATACAGTAAAACATTGACTTTGCTGTAAAGTATATATGATCTTCGCACAAATATCAAAGCACATCCTTGAGAAAAGTATTATGGCAAGAAATAGAAGAAGTAGAGTAGAAACGACACAATGAAACATACATTTCACCGAGGGACCCACAACATCGAAACTTCGGACGTTACAGTATACCTTTAAAGAAATTAAAAAAAATTATCCATAGCTTGCAAAAGCATTAAAAAAGTGCTTCCTCTTCCCCAAAAAATTTCCGCTCCCCCATCGCTGTTTGCACTGTCAGTTTCAATAGATTCCCAGAATCTGGATCGCCGGTGTACGACAAACAAGAGAAGTTGTAGCAGGGCACAAAGAAATCGGGGTCACGTGGAAACAGAGCCAGATGCTCTTTTTCAGCATCGACGGCGATCTCGAAGATAGACGAAGGTCCCCATCGAACAACGTTACCGGTAAATATCGGCACAAAGAATAGACCGACCTTATCTGTCATCGGCGATCACTGATACAACTAATAGAACTGGACCGACGTTCGTTTTGAAATAATTACTGGTACGTATCGTTCGACGATCTTTCAAAGCTCTTTGCAGGTAGTTCTCACTAAACAAGAGATTCCCGCTTCCTCCTGCTCTCTTCCTCCTGGGAAACTTCGTTTGACAATCCACCCCTCAATTGTATACGTTTGAGAAGAAAAATTTCTCAATAAATTCTTGATTGCTCTTGATATATTCTTCGAGTTCTCTAACTTTCAGAAAGTTACGATAATAAGAAGTTTGAAAGATTTTATGTTTTTGAAGTTCTTCAAGAAAACTGTGGTTTACGATATACACTTGTTTATTTAATTAATTTGTTAATAGTATATACATATGTACACTACTGCTCATAATTATTCGAACGATAAACCTTTTACACTTCACCTCGTTTCTGCTTCGATATAAAAGTCAGGTAAAAGTCCCTTGACATTGCTTTAACAGATACGATGATTCTTTATTGAAGCAGTGAACACGCTTTTGTTCATATCGTTATATCTTGTATATTATTCATTGGAAATTGCACGTATTCTAAATGTAAACTATTCAAATAATTATCAGTATTCCAAGGATAAATGTCTACCAATTATTGTTATCGTTCGAATCATTACACTGTGGCGTTTCTCTATTTTTATGAGGAGAATACCTTACCAATAGGTTTCTTGATTTACAAACTAAACAAGTGATCTTTGCTTTAGATATTTGCATCCAGTATTAAATACACGTGTACTCTGTACATTAATCTTTCACCGGAATTACACCATTTCTATCAAATAAATTTTATAGTTTCTATTACTACATAGATCTCGAAGATACAAGTTTCAAGAAATAGCAACAGAAAAATTCAACAGAAAATATAATCTATATACACAAACGTATAAAAATACCTATGTATGCATCTTCTAGTTGATTTTATCCAGCTTTTACTGCAGCAGTTACGTATAAGCTATATTCGATCTTCAAAGGTTCAAAATATTCATCTTCTCGTTCGCCGTAAATTTCTTTTAAAAAAAAAGCCACTTATTCGTCTGAAAAAAAATAAATCAATGCTCGATAACGAATTTAATTTAACATTTAATTAGCGCAGAAGTTTTACAGGATAATACATCGTGTAAGGGAGTTATCGTTACCCACGTGTTGTATATATAATATATATATATATAATATATATATAATATAATATATAATATATATTATATACATATATATATATATATAATATTTTCCTTTTATTACTTTAAATAACATCAACTTTTACTTCGATTACAGTTCGATCGTACATCGTGTGATCTCTTCTTACTTGTCTATTCGTGCTACCCTTTGCACATCAGTTTTCATTCACGCGTACACCTACACATATACACAAGCCATTCTCTCCTCTTCGTTCTCTCATTCCTCTTATTTCTCAGCTTCTCCTTTCTCTCATTCTCTCACTCTTAGCGATTTGTCTTAGTTAGTTGTGCAACGTTAAGCTTGTCCGCTAAAATACACGAATGAGAACTGCTGGGAAGAACTGTCGGTTATTAATAATCGTCCTTGCGCAAAACATTTTCTGCGAACGAAAAACGGTACAATACCACTCCTATGCGTGTATTTATCGGCACTTTTGTCCACTGTACAGTTTCCCTTTGTGAATTACCGATTCAAGAGAGATTTGTGCTAAGACCGACGAAACCGATTGATCCAACCGAAGATCGGACCAATTCCTTGGGCGAAACTTTGAGATTTAAATATTCGATTTCGATTCGCGAGAGTCTTGTTTCCTTGGTGTCTACTGTTACGTTTGGTAATTTTCGTATTCTTCGATTTCTAGACTTTCTCAAAATATTTGCGATATCGGAAACGAAACGTTTAGAGATTATCTTCTTCTGACAAATTTTTGAAGAATATCTTTAGTATTATCGACAGTCGCGATATTTGGTGAATCTAATTTCACAAGCCGAGAGATTTCAATCAATATCACTTCCATTTTCAGATTCTCACAAAATTTTGAATATTCTTAATACGATTAATACTTGTGATATTTGGAGATCTTGATATCGTTAATAGCGTTGGACTTTTCAAGGCCAATCGCCTGATCGGATTGTGGCGTTTCATTTACAAACGGTTTCTTCTAATCCTCTTCGAGAATTGCTCGCGATATATTAGATATAAAACGACGATTCCTCGACATTCTTTTATTGCTGACTTGTTTGTTGCTGGCTGCGAAGTCCTAGCGTTCTGGGAGGAGATGATCCGCGCGACAAGTGATTCTTGTCTAATTATACCCTAGGAAGATTTATCGGCAGCCTTGGCCCGGTAAAGCGACAAAACATCTCTAAAAGTTAAAAGAGCCAACTTCGCCTGAACGTCGAAACGAGCCTGATAAATGAACGATCACATGCTCCGAATCTTCGCTAACGTATACGTTAAAAGCTATTACACATTAACGAATATAAAACCAAGACGAAACTCTGATTTCCCTATTAAAACCAAGGATAAAAGGGAGAAAGATGAGAAATAAAAGAAATATTTTCTCCTTTAAATAAAAAAAAAAAAAAAAAAGGAAATCGATCCTACAGAAACAAGGTGAAGAAATAGATACTGTTCTACTATCACTGAATTCTTGTCTTCCACTTGATTCAACGAACAGAAACAGATTCAAGAGCTTCCGATTCTTTGACCCTCTTCACGTTCCACACGGTGTTAAAAAAAAAAACAACAGAATATAAAACCGAAACGAAAAATGACTCGCTTGAAGAAACGTAACCCAAAATGAAGAAACGTAACAAAACAATACAAAAACACGATCAGGTTTAAAATCATCCAAACAGGTATAACAGCATGGTTAAAAATATAATGTAGGATTTTTAAAACAACGCTGATTGTTATGAAGATAAAAGAAAAGAAAGGAAGTCGATTGGAAATTTGATCTACATTTATAACGAAGCCAGCGATTGATCGTCGAATAAAAACCAAAAGCAAAGTTCAAACAAACGATTGCCCGGAAATTCTTAGAAAATTAAAAAACAAAAAAAAGGAAGAAAATAAAAAAAAAAGAATTCTTTTGCCTGAATCCGCGCTTGTGTGCATTTTCGGAATGTCTCGCGAGTGGTGTGCACCCTGAACGACGTCGAGCGTGTATACTGTGCCGTACAAAGCGTAGATTGTGCGTGAATCGAAGACAGTTTGGCTCCTTGTTGGACTATAAAAATCTCGAAAGAGAACGGATGTCGATATAACCGAGGATATAACAGAGCGACAGACTGCTCTTCACTGTCGTTAGTTCTCCTCGAGACATTTTGTGCGAGAACTAAATCAAATTACGCAAAAATCTAAAGAAACGATCTTTTTATTTCAACTTTACGTTTCATGATTCTATATATGTTATGTTGATTTCATGTATCTGAAGATTCTATATCTCGATTTTATATCTTGATCTTATACCTTGATATTATACTTTCGATGACTATAGATCTTCGTTTCATTGATACATCGACTGTATATATTTCATGATTCTATGATCCTGATTTTACGCGATATGATTTTATACTTCTGGTAACGCAGCTTGATTTCACACGTATACCTGATGATTATATATATCTTAATTTTACAGCTTGCAAAGAAAGGTATAAAATTTCAATTATATTATTATAACGTTATATCTTCCATGATTCTAATAAATTTCACGTGTGTTATAAAAAGAAAGGTGATCGATGCACACATGTTAAAAGCAGTAAAAAAGACTCGTTAAGACATAGACATAACACAGTTATCGACTCCGAAATCGAAGGTAGCTCTGCGTTAAATTGATTTGATATAAAACGCGTAAAAAAAAAAAATTTCATTTCTATTTTCACTCCAATATTCGTAAAAAGTTGATAGAGAATAAAACTATTAAAAAAAAAAAGCAGTACACCAATTTCATTAAACATGTCTAGAGTACGTATCCAATGAATCCAATTAAAAAGAGCGAACAAAATAAATAAAAACAAAAAAAAAAAGATGAAATAAAATGATCAGACTCAAAGTAGAACTAGATCCTCGACGCGAATGTTCTGTATTACCAATAGCATATAACATAATAGTGGAGAAAAAAGCTGCCCTCCTGATATAATTAAAGTGTCCTATTTATCGTTCCTTTTTTTTCAAGATACGTTAAAATATTGAAATCTCCTTCTGTGTCTCATCTTTTCTATAAAATTACACAATGTATTATACACTCTGACTAATGACTAAATATTTTAAACTGATGAAGGAAGACCAAGATGATGGTACAAAGAGAATGATCAAGAATTTCAGTTTGTCCCCAATTTGTAAACACGCAAATAAAACAAATTTGAAACAAGGAGTTTGAGTTGTCTAAACAGATTTGCCAACAGATGATACAAAAGCGTTTCTTCGTCTAGCTTCCTTTTCCTCTTCCCCGTCGTTCCTCGTCCCCTTTCTTTTGCTTACCCTGTTTCGTCCCGAGGACTCTTTCTAACAGGGAAAAATCCTTTCCTCTGCTCAGCATCCTAGATAAGAATCTTACAAGGCAATGTCGCATCCAACGGGATATACATTCCGGACATCTGCACGAGAGATGTCCCTTAAATAGAGAACCGATAAAACTTATACTCTTTACCTCTTTTTTGCCTTTTCTTTCTCCTCTATAGCGTTTAAATTTTGTCACCTGTACGATACACACCTCGCGTTTTCTCTTCTTTCCTATTCCTCGTTCTAGCTATATACCGTGTGTTTTCAGATTTTTCCTCGCTCATTATCTTATACCTTTCACACATTCTACCACTCTCCATTCAATCTCGTTCTCTCTCTCTCTCTCTCTCTCTCTCTCGTACTTGTAGGTTTTTCGCTCTTCTCTCTCTCTCTCTCTCTTTATGTACAGACTGCGAACTGCGGATAATAAATGATAAGTTACGCTCTAACTTACGCTATCTACGACAGTGTTTTTTTATTTTATACCGGGTGTTTTCGAGGAAGAAACGAATATTTGAGGCTCGTCCTCTCGTTTGGCTTCTCGGGCTGCGTTCTTCGAGTACAATAATTGTTCAAGAATTAGAAATAATTCGATTTCCTAGATGTATCTTAAAAATTCCATCGTTATCTCTAGAAATTGTAGAAATGATAAATTAGAAAATGTGACACGCTCGAAGTAGGTTTTAAAGAACGAGCTGAATCTGAATTGCTGGTTTAAGCTTCAACCGTGTTTCTCTAATTTCCATTATCAAAATAGAAAAGTGCCGACATATCTTGATCCCGATTGTTTCTCGAAATTTCTAAATAAACGATAACGTGTCAGTAAAATTGGATTTTATCCACGTTCATCTGAAATAAAAAAAAACACGTTGTCGTCTATACCGCAATTAATCCGCAATTAATATCCAAGGCGATCTATCACAAGATTAGTGAAATACAGATCCAACAATTATACCTCGAATAAGCGTAACTAAATTAAAACAATCACCGGATGTATCCTACGTTTCAATTACTCCAAACAACACGAGAATAACAAAATTTGCCCTTATTTCGAGGAACTGACGACTTTAATTGAAACGCATATGCAACTATTCAGAAACTGCTACTAATTTCTGTCAACGATGCAATTCATAACGTGAGAGTACAGCGGAGGCAAAAGAGCGAGACACAGAGACAAGAGCGGTGTTCTGTAAAGGTGTTGCTGATTCTATTTGCGATGAAAAGATTGGCACTCGGCAATTGGCTGGCAGGAAGCAGCTGCTCCGCCTACCGCTCGCTTTTGCCTTGGTCACGCTAATTTGCATACCATTTCTATCTAATGCACGGTCCTAGCCGCCTATAACCAGCCTGACACGCGTCAAGCAATTAAAATTTCATCATTTTTCACTGGCCTAATGAAGAGGTATCTTCGAGACCGGTAAAACCGAACGAACGTTTCGTTCTCGCTGTGTCTTCTTTCTCTTCCTCTCTTGCACGATCACGTCGAATGAAAAACACGATAAGTACGATTTTCTTGTTCTATTGATCTTAACGTCACTTTACGATTAACAATATAAATACTGTCACGAGTACGCGAGGGAATAAAAATTGTCTGATACAGCGTAGCAAGATCATTATCAACGATGCACTTCGTTAGAGGATTACGTGTAAATTAAACGTTTACACGTATTTCTCTCCGCTATAGGAATAATCGCAATTTTCCGTTTATGCTGTACTTCTGTTCTACAAAATAATACGCTTATTTGCTTGTGTATTTACGTTTGGAAGTCGGTAGAAATTCGTGCACCTCGAAGAGTTAAATGATTCATCAATTACTCGTATCTCTTCTATTGCTTAACTACGTACAGTTGTATCGATAATGATATTGCGTTTGGCATTATCGGTATTTTTCCGTGAGAAACAGTAAGTATGACTTATCGTGTTCTTCCTCTGTATTCTCGATCTACATATACACGGTCGCGTCTACATACACTTAGTCTTGAACAGCGTTGTGCACGAACGAGCAGCAAGATCGCGAATTGATACAAAGAAGAGGATGCTGCGAGCCATAAATAAAGACAGGCTTTTCGAATAATCGCGTATCAGAGAATGAAATTGAATCGTGACTCGAGCCTGATTCGCAAACACCCGGTACTCGCCCGTTATAGACGAGATTAACTTAATCTTCCTTCGAACGCTCGTGTAAACGTGTATCTACTCTGCTGACCGTAAGTATCAAGATTAAAATACGAAAAATTAAATAACGATCGTGTACATCTTTTACATCGTGAAAATTAACAAGCTTCGCGAAAGTGACATTCATCAAATTAACTTCTCAGCGATTCCGTTCGTTCGAATATTCTAACAATGGCCAGCAGTGTACACGTGTACGAGTGGGTGTGTAGGAAGGTGTACGTGTGTATGAAAGTGTGTATAAACTGTGTGAGTGTATATTATCTACATATGTACACAGGACAAACACAGAAGCGTACGGTGTGAGAGGATCGGTGTGTGAAGAGCGTGTGTGGTTCGTTATAGTGACGTTAATTAATTAGCGGGGGATGGCTAAGATCCGTACACGCCTCAGAGATCACTCTCAGGGATCTTGCCTGCACGGTGGTGTTGAATCTTCCAAATAACATCGTTCTCCTCCCATAAAGGAAGGGGAACCGGTGCTCCTGGACCGTCGACGTTCATCGTGCTTACTTATTCTCGCTTGTTCTTCCGTTATTACCTAATGAAGAAATTAATTGGTACTAAACATTATCGTTAACGTAAAATTGTTTCTCTGAATATCAAACATTTGTTTATATAAAATTATACCTTCTAGATTATTGAAATATTTTGTCTACGTTATAACTTACATATTATCCCGAATAATCTCTCTTCAAATATTATCCCGTTGCAGATATTAAATGTTATCCTGTCATCGAAAACTTAAACGAAATTCTACCGCGTAACATCTCGATAAATTTACCGAAATTTCTTTCAAAGCTACCAAGTATTTCGTTAAGAATTTTACCGATAATTTTCTCCAACTTAAACGATTACTGGATATTTTACATTCTTCGACAAAAATGACCACAAAACACGCACGAACACTGTTACAGACATATCGAACACTGTGTCTTTCCCTTCTTCCAGGCAACACAGAAAATCAGCCACTATTTCGTAATTCCCCACATATGAAAGACAGGGAAAAATACCGAGAGGCTTATAACACGACGTTCGCCAAGGTCCAGAAAGATTCCGGCAGCAGGTCGAGGCTTGCACGGTTCCAACCAACTACTGGTAACCGTAAACAACGTATGAGTGTGTTGCTCTTATTTCTCAGGACCTAGGTACGGGCGATACGCTACGAGATTAAAACGGGGAATAATAATGGGAATAATGAGAATCGTTGGATTCGCGGGGAGAAAAGACAACTAAGATAAAATACGACGTATGTTTGCGTTGTTTCTGCAAGCTGTGTTGTAAAAACAAGAAAAAACGTCGGCCTTGTCTGGCGTCGCAGGGCGATATGGGATAAAGAAAGAAAAAGAAAAATGCTAACATGTCTTTTGCTATTTTCACGCCGGAAGCGTTCCCCCGCTGCCTCGATTTTCCTCGTCTTCTCACGGCTACTATTCGTAATAATCGTATGCGTTATATATATATATATACTATATATATCGTTCGTTCCCAAAAGAATTGGGAGAACCAAATGGGCGTCGTTCGTGTATCCTGTATCTGTGTGCGAAGAACATGTATTACGCGTAATACCACAGGTGAAAATCTTTCTCTCTTTTTGTTCTTTCTTTTAGTTTGTCGGAAAGATCGTTTCTCGAGCGTGTGTGTGTGTGTGTGTGTGTGTGTGTATATGTGCGGCGATTAAAAAGTCGAGGCATGATGTGGTCGCTTCGGTCAGAGATACGAGATGTTTCTCTTTGTTTCGATATTTATCCGAACTCCAACGTTCCGCAAACGTCCCCAAAACCTGCTGCAACTCGTCCCTAGAACGAGAAGCTTCAGCGAGATCGGGCGCATCCGCTTCCGCGGTACACGATCTCTTCGTTCGTCCTATCTCCGTTTCAGAGCCACGAAAAAATCGCAACTGATGTTCCCTGGCAATGTATACAACTAGTACGTACATTACGATCCTCGACTATACGCAGATCGTTCGTCTCGTCGATTTCGAATCGACATGTTTCTCGCGCCTTCGATCTAACATCGCGAACAACAAAATGTTCTTCCTAATTACCTAACGTGGTATACTCTGGATTCCTGATCGAGCACAAACTGGACGAATCGGCCCAGCTATCTCGAAATTATAATACGGTCACCTTTCGTCTCCCACTATCTCACAGATATAATTTCGTGGCCAGACTCGCTTACGAATCGCAAAAACTAGCTTCCTTCTCAGTTTCCTTTTTTTCTTTTTTTTCTTTTTTCTCTTATAGGTTTCGTATCGTCTGTCTCTTTAGGTTTTCTCTTGGTTTCTCTTGCCCTGGCTGCTCGGGGCCCAGGGTCACAATGAGTGATAATCGCCTAACACCAGGCCGCTGTGATAACTACCATGCGACGTAGACATGCCCATGGAACCCATGCCCTGATACGCTCCCATCCCCATGCCGTTCATCGACATAGTGTTCATCGTGTTCACGCTTTGCATCGTGTTCGGCAGCATCGTCGACGGACCCATCGGGCTCAGACCACCCATGGAAGGAGCTATAGCACCCATCTGCATCGACGTGGCTGTATGAGGAAGCGACTTCTGCAGATCCGCCGAGGTCGGTGTGATTAGGTAATCCTGGAACAAAAAAGTATAGACATGGTTCATCGATGGAAGAGCTAGTGAACTGTGTTCTTCGCGACACTCGAAATACTTTTGTGATGTTCTGCTGGTGATTTATCGTCTGAGTCTTCTTGCGCAATAGTTTATTAATTAATAATATAATAATAATAGTAATAATATTGCAATATTATAAAGTTGTAGATTACAGAATTGTGTTTTATGAGTTTACAAATTTACTTGCAATGGGATAATCAGGTGATTTGAAAGCTGTAAAATTTCATTTGGTGTATTCCTAAAACTTGCTGTCGTAGGAGAAAATTTAATGGTGATTTCCGCAATTTCATTAATGATATTTGTTTAATTATGCAAGAGGACCCTGAAATAATTTCATAGTAACGTTCGATTATCTTTGATATATATTTTTTGGTCCGGAATTGAATTATAGATCAGAAGAAAATATTTAATTATTTAGTATTATATTTACTATGAATAGAAGGAAAAGAATTGGCTACTATTTGAGTATCTTGAGCAAGTAAGTAATCGAGTTTAAGGAGATTATAGAGAGTGATCGTTACCTGTAGATCTACAGCCTAGATGCGTTCCCAACCATCGAATTAAGAATCATTAATTTTCCTCTAGTTAGTTTTTGTTACAGATGCTTAAAAAAGTTAGATATGAACTATTAAAGCGGAGTTAGAATTATCATACTTGTCACCCCTCGCGCAAACCATTACGCTTAGTTGGTTATAAACACAAAAATTTATTCAACGCTCTTCATAAATTTCAAGCAATTTTTCACCTTACCTGATATTCTTACGCTATACGACGCGTACTTTGCATTTGTTATCGTAAAAACTTTAATATCGATTCTTTAAACTTATGAAAGCATATATGCTAAGTAGTAGTTATAACTTAATTAATTAACCACATAATGAATGATTTGGACAAAACTAAATGAATGTTCTTACGAAAGTTGCAAGGCTCGATTAATCTCAAGCCTCTACACTTTAATGTACACCGTAATTCTCAGTCCACCAAATACTACAAACACGATACACATCATCATACATTTTTTTAATTAACAGAGCAAGAATTTCAAATACCAACGCCCAATTACTTTCAAAAAACTAATCCTATTAATCCTTTAACATTCTAATGAAATATGCAAATATTCCTTTAGATCATGATCAACAAGATAATTGAGAAATACTGTTATCTATTCAACGATTGAAAGAAAATCAAATATCTGTAACATGGCGAAAAACCATTGCTTGTTCTTTAATCAGTTAAGATCTTAAGTCCTCTTTTCTCTGCCAAAAAAAAGGAAAAAGATGAAAAGTAGAAAAACCACAGAAAATAGTTCACTGTACCTGTGAACTATTAATCCATTAATCCTTTTAATCCTATCAATCCTTTAAAATTGCAGTGAAATATAATAATGTGCACTGAGGTCATATTCTAAAATTACTTGTCAAACACTGATGTCTATTCTGGAATTCCATGAAATTGAAAGAAACTTAAATACTTATGACAACATTGTGATGAACTATCGCTTGATCTTTAATGAGTTAAGATCAGTCCCTCTTCCTTCTGCCAAGAAAAGAAATGAAAAAAATATAGAAAGTAGCAAAACCACAGAAAACAATTCACTGTACCTGTGAACTATTAATCCATTAATCCTTTTAATCCTATCAATCCTTTAAAATTGCAGTGAAATATAATAATGTGCACTGAGGTCATATTCTAAAATTACTTGTCAAACACTGATGTCTATTCTGGAATTCCATGAAATTGAAAGAAACTTAAATACTTATGACAACATTGTGATGAACTATCGCTTGATCTTTAATGAGTTAAGATCAGTCCCTCTTCCTTCTGCCAAGAAAAGAAATGAAAAAAATATGGAAAGTAACAAAACCACACAAAACAGTTCACTATACCTGTGGACTATAGTACTGCATATAGTCCAACTGGCTCTTCTGCTGGGCGCAGCTGGGTGGCGGCGGTGGCAAGGTCGCCGTGGGATGTACCAAGCCGTGAGTACCGTGAGCACCGACCTGGAGATGATGTTGCAGCTGATGATGAAGGTTCCGTTTGTCGTCTCCGCTCTCGCTTCCGGTATCGTGGTGTTGTATATGGTGCGTCGGCGTGTGAGGATGGCTCAAGGTCGAGCCATGACCTTGGTGGTACGAATGAGGACTGGAAACCGAGACAGGAGGAGGAAGCTGATACATGCTCGACGCCTGTTGATGTTCCATCATCGGTTGCTGCTGCTGCGCAGCTACAGCGCAGGATGATGGTTGTTGAGGCGGTTGCTGATTGACCGCCTGCCTCTTCGTTTCATCGCCACTTTCGCTGCTCGAATCACCTAAACCTCCGCCGTGAGTTTTATCCTCTCGTTGGCCGCTGTAACAGATAAGAAGATGGTTTGCTTGTTAGAGAAGATCGATGAAGTACAAACTTACTTTTCGTGCAATTTTGCGCTTGAATAACAGTTTAATAATTGAACAAACGAAGTTGCGTACATGTAAATTTTGTAAATTACAAGTCAATAGTCGAGCGATATTAAGACAAACAATCAACTGATATTCGATTACAATTTACAACTTGTACGTAACTTTCAACAATTACAGTAAGTCTATCTAATGAGGAAGTGCAATCAACGGATCCTACCAGTCATGATTTTCATCAAGAACAAACTACGACTATATAAAATCGCGAAACAACCATTCCACTTTTAAGCTCTCCAAAGATCCCGACGCAATCCCATTCTCAATGTTTGCTCAAAAATATGAACACACAGCCCTCCTAACAATGCAAGAACAGATTAGAAAACGGCAGAAAGCACACAGATCCTGCATAGATTTCGCTCGTTATCTATCCAACAAATTTCTCCTAGTTAACGCGAACAATACCCACACCCAGCGATGGAGGCCGCTTAGATATCCAATTAATATTGCAAGTCGATGCCAGGCGAATCTTTGCCGCCCTCTTCTCGTTTGCTTCGGGCGGTTCCTCCGCAACACCGCTACGCCACGATACTAAACTCTTCTTCTCACAACCGGCAACAGTTCCAATATAATTACCGACAAAACAGTCGACCAATGATCCTCGGTATACCGAGAAGCGGAAGAGGATAAGGGCTGCACGGAATAATGCCTGCTAAGATAATACCATCTTCGATTCGTAAAATACCGGTGAAGAGGGTACTGCTTCCTTTTCTGGCTGTAGCAACGTGAATTAAGGGTGGAGCATCGCTGAGAACAAGGAGGAACGAGTAAAACTGACAACAGAATAGCAATACAAAGCGAGAGAAAGAGAGAGGAAGAGAGGAGTGAACTCGCTCTGGACGTATCGTAAACTCAATTTAGCAGGCTGGACCTCCTCGAAGCCACGAAGCACGTGCGACCACTTCGGGGTCCTTGCGGCCTCGCGCTTCAACCTCTTTCTCTCTTGGACGTTCGGTTACCTCCTCGTCATGCTTGACTAAGACACTCTCTATATCCAGGTACGAGCAATCGTTAAGCGCTTGTTTTACAAGTCGTTTAGACGTGGCCGCCGCGATACGGCACTGTCTCTCCAGGCGCAAGTGCCACGACACTTGTCTACGGGGTGTTTTCGAGAACCGGTCCCTCTCGCGTTCGTTCAGTTCGGCCCCGCCTCCCTTGCCAGCTACCGAACTCTGATAACGGGCATCCCGTTTCACACACTTTCGTGTAACCTTTCATCTTTGTGATATCGGCGACCCTCTCGATCTTCCACGACCGACTTCCACGGAAACCTCGTTTAGGGTATTTCGGTTAAACGAAATGAAATTTAAATTTGTGGATGCTTGAATTTCGTATGGTGTCTTTTATCGACAGGATACACGCGTTACAACGCGGTTTTACGCTCTTTCGGGTATCATTTTACTTTTATAATATCGGGAATTATTCGATCTCTGAGGATTGACTTCCTTGTGTATCTTAGCGAGTATCTAGAGCTGAGTAAAATTCGTATTTACGAATTGAATGAATGCTATCGTAACTTTTACGCTTTCCCGCGTGTATTTTTATTGTGACATCGACGAGATTTCGGATTTTTGTATATATTTATATATGGTTAAATCATACAGAAATTATCGGCTCATAAAGTATCAGAAGAAAGGATAGTAAAGGCGAAAGGGTGGAAGGACAACGATGATTTCGTTAGATTAGAATCTGACATGACGTTAAACTGAAAAGTAAAACAAGAAAGGTCAGTGGTTTCGTTAGATTAAGAGTCTAGCATAACGTTAAACTCTAGAAATTATCGTCCTATACATATCACGATAAAAGATCAACGAAGATTCCATTAGATAAGAGTGTAACATGTCGTTAAGCTCTATGGGAACTCACTCGTACAGTATCACAGCTAAACGGATAAAAGAATCTCAAAGAACAAGATCAAGGAAGATTCTACGGAATTCCAACGTATTATCAAACGATATAGAAATTATCGTTTCATACAAAATCACACTACGAAAGATGAAAATGCCGCTGAAAATCAAAGAAAGATTCCACTGTATAAGAGTCTAACGTACCATCGTAAATAGAAATTCGCTTATACAGTAACACTTTTACTTATTTTTTTTTACACATCGTTAAACGATAATAGAAATTATTGTCTCATACAGAAGTGCGCTAAAAAAGATGAAGGAAGATCCCAACGAAAAAAAAGGAAAGATATAGGTTCCTATATCCCTCGACTAATTCTTCCAAGACAAGGCGAACGATAAATCCGTTCGGCAGGTGAAAATCTGGTTGGTCGTTCGGTGCCGGTTGCAGGGGAGTCGGTTCTCGTCGTCCGAGGACAAGAATTATTTCCACGAGACGCGATGCAACAGATCCCACACGTGGAACGACGTAGTTCCGAGGCAAGGACAAGGGGATCAGCTTGTTTCCACCGGTACTTTCCGTGCCACCCGTTGCATGCCTGGGTCTATAACCCCAGACGAGGTGTCCCCAGGTATGCCTTATCCGAGTCGAGATCGCGCAGTAAATTTATCCGCGTTGCACGCCGCGCGTTGCCTGCCTAACAGAACGGAATCTTTCGGGCATTATTATTTTCATTAGGATTTGTGACTCATCGCGTGCCCGGGACATTTATTTGGCGGACGAGTTCCTCGCGACAACTAAACCTATTACCGCGAGATCTCTCGCTTCTCTTCGCCATTCCACCCAACAGTTTTTCTCTTGATTTTTCAGATCTTTGGTCTTATTACCGTTTATTATTTTATTGCGATTATCCACAGTCATCGGGGTTTTTTTTTTATTGGGAAATAAGATACAAATTAAAAAATATGGACCAGGTAGGCACTGTATATAGATGTATACAGGATAGTTGGTAATTGGTGGCACAAGAGGAAAGGGGGTGATTCTACGCGAAAAAAGAAGTCGAAAATA